ATCTATCAGAACCATTATTTTTTTTTACAATATCAACATGTACTAATACACACAAAAAACTGGATATAATCATAAATTCGTATTGCATGACTACGGAACGCCGTAAAATAAGTCATGGCGCAGAAACGAGTATTGATCACTAGGGCGTTTCCTATGGGCCTTCGAAATTTTAGGCCAGTCGAAGTTCGCCAAATTTATTTTACAAAATCAGCATGTACTAATATACACGGAAAAATAGATATTGAAACCTCATATAATGAACTCAAATGTCATGGCTAAACAATGAGTATTAGTGAATAGGCCGTTTCCTATGGTCCTACATAATTTATGACTATATTCATTTTTTCGTATGTATTAGTTCATGCTAATTTTGTAAAAAAATTTTGACGAATTTCGGTTGGCCTGGATTTTTGTAGGTCCATAGAAAATGGCCTATTGACCAGTACTCATTTCTTCGCCATGACTTTCGGGGTTCATTTTATTGCGTTTCAGCCTCATGCAACACGAATTTATGATTATATTCAGTTTTTCGTGTGTATTGGTACATGTAAGATTTTACAGATTTCTTTTACGAACTCCGATTGGCCTGAAATTTTGTAGGTTCATAGGGAACGACATAGTGACCAATACTCATTACTTCACCATGACTTGCAAGTTCATTTTAATTCATTTCGTGATCATGCAACATGATTTTGTTATTATATCCTCTTTTTCGTGTGTATTAATACATGCTGATTTTACAGAATTTTTTTGAAGAACTCTGATTGGCATGATATTTTATAGGTCCATAGGCAATGGCCTAGTGACCACTACCCATTACTTTACCATAACTTTTAGGTTTATTTATAGCATTTTGTGGTCATGAAATACGAATTTTTGACTATATCTATTTTTTCATGTGTATTAGTACTGCTGATGTTCTGGAATTTTTTTAGCTAACTCCGATTAGTCTGAAATTTCGTAGGTCCATAGGAAATGGCCCAGTGACTAATACTCATTGTTTCGCTATAACTTTCGTTCATTTAATGGCATTTTGTGGTCATATGACACAAATTTATAATTAGGTTTTTTTTTCTTGTGTATTAGTAAATACTGATGTTGTAAATTTTTTTTGACGAACTCCAATTTGCCTGAGATTTCGTAGATCCATAGAAAACGGCCTAGTGACTAATACTCATTGCTTCACCATGACTTTGTAGTTCTTTTTATATAGCGTATCGTAGTCATGAAACACGAATTTATAGTCATATACATTTATTTTTGATGGGCCCGTAAAATTTTAGGAGATTCAGGTCTGATCGCCCGAATTCATGCCAGATGACCCTGCAAACAAAAATTTAAAAATCGTCCGGAATTCCTGTTTTATGGACCTAAAATGCCAAAAATGAGGAACAACCATAGCGAGACGATGACTATTGATCATTATGTCATTTTTTATGGGCCCAATTTTTTTTAGGAGATTCGGGGCGGGTCGTCCGATTTCATGTAGATGGTGTGGACTATATCACACGAAAATATGAGAATCGTCGTGACTTCCTCTTTTATGACCCTAAAACGCCAAAAATGAGGAATAATCATTGCAAAAGCGATGAATATCGTTCATTAAGTCGTTTTCTACGGGCCCGCAAAATTTTAGGGGATTCGGGGCCGGTCACCTAAATTCATACAGATGGCGTGGATTATAGCACATGAAAATCTGAGAATTGTCCTGAATTCTTGTTTTATTGCCCTAAAACGCTAAAAAAGAGGAACGGTTATGGCGAAGCGATGATTACTTTTCATTAGGTCATTTTTGATGGGCTTGCAAAATTTTAGGAGATTTGGGCCCGGTCGCCCGAATTCGTGCAGATGGCGTGGATTATGATACACAAAAATCTGAGAATCGTCCTAAATTCCTATTTTATGGCCCTAAAACACCAAAAAAGCGAGTAACGGTCATGGTGAAGCGATGACTATTGTTCGTTAGGTCGTTTTTATGGGCCCGCAAAATTTTAGTAGATTCGGGGCCGGTCGTCCGAATTTAACAAAATCGCCATGAACAATACCACACGCAAATCTAGGAATCATCCCGAATTCCTGTGTTATGGCCCTAAAACGCCAAAAAATTGGGAACGGTCATGGCGAATTGATGACTATTATTCATTAGGTCATTTTTTATGGGCTTGAATATTTTTAGGAGATTCGGGCCTGGTCGCCGGAATTCACTCAGATAGCACATACGAAAATATAGGAATCGTCCTGAATTTAGTTTTATGGCTCTAAAACACTAAAAAACGAGGAACAATCATGGAGAAGTGATGACTATAGTTCATTAGGTCGTTTTAGATGGGCCCACAACATTTCAGGAGATTCGGGGCCGGTCGCCCAAATTCATGTAGATGGAGTGGAATATAGCACACGAAAATCTGAAAATCGTCCTAAATTCCTATTTTATGGACCTAAAACGCCAAAAAATTAGGAACAGTTATGGCGAAGCGATGGCTATTACAGATGGCGTGGATTTTAACACAAAAATTTAGAAATCATCCTGAATTCCTATTTTATGGCCCTAAAAAGCAAAAAACAAGGAACGGTCATGGCGAAGCGATGACTATTGTTCATAGTCATTTTGATGGCCCCGCAAAATTTTTAGAGATTCGACGCTGGTCGCCCGTATTCATGTCGATGGCGAGGACTATAGCACACGAAAGTGTGAAAATCGTCATGAATTCCTGTTTTAGGTCTTTAAAATGCCAAAAGATGAGGAACGATCATGGCGAAGCGATGAATATTGTTCATTAGGTCGTTATTAATGGGCCCGTAATTGTCAAGACCCAAAACTTAGCCTGTCCTGAGAGAATCGGTTAACCAGACCGGCCCAGACCGGTTCAATGGCTATTTTTATTTTTAATTTTTTAATTTTATAAAGTTGACCATTTGGCAACAGTCAGCTGTCATTTTGACCGTTGCCCAACGACTAATTTGCAATAATAGCCTTTTTTGGGCATTTTTTCAAAAATAAAACTTTTATTATTTACTAATTTAGCCTTTTGAAAAACAATAAAAAAACCCCCTTCTTCTTCATTTCTTCACTCATCTCTCAATTCTCAAACCTAAATTCTCAATTCAAGTTAAATCATGCCCTGTGCTTCTAGAGTGCACTCATATATTTGGGAACACTTTGAAGTAGTAGAAGAAAATGAAGAGGTTCACAAATTAAAGTGCAAGAACTGTGGCCGAGTCTTAAATTTTCGTCGAAAGTGGGAGGGCACATGCTGTTTAAGGAGGCATATGAAGAGTTGTCTTGAGCGTCCTCCAGAAATTCGTATTTAAGTTGATTTGAGACAATTTATATTATTTTAAAATTATTAGACTTATTTAAGCTTAATGTTTTAGATTGTTAGATTAATTTGAATTATTATGCAATGAAAATTTGAAATGAAACTATGAAAGCCTTTGAAGTTTGATCCTTACATATCAAGTTATTAACATTCTAGTGTCCAGTATAAGATTTATACTATAAGTTATATTTTCTTCATGTTCATTGTATTATCTTAAATTCGTAATGAATTTTTTAAATTTTAAAATTTATTCAAACATTCTTTTTATACGTTAGTTTTTAATGTTTTACATTTTTACTTTATCTTAATATAAATTACGATTGTTATACAAAATATAAAAAAAATAAAATTAAATAAGCCTGACCCAGCCCGTCTCATTAGGCTCGGAACCATTTTGGTTAAATTTTGCACCAGGAAAGCCCAGAATCGGTAAACACGGTAAAAAATAGCTGGAACCGGCCCGGTAATGAAACCGACCGGTTCCCTTTTCCTCTACCCCTGACCGGCCCGGCCCGACCCCTTGACACCTATAACTATAATACATGAAAATCTGTGAATCGTCCTGAATTCCTGTTTTATGGCCCTAAAAAAATGAGGAACAATCATGGTGAAGCGATTATTATTGTTCATTAGGTCGTTTTTTAAGTGCTCACAAAGTTTTAGGAGATTCGGGGCTGGTCGCCCGAATTCATGCACATGGCGTGAACTATAACACACGAAAATGTGGGAATCGTCATAAATTCGTGTTTTATGGCCCTAAAATGCCAAAAAACGAGGAACGATCATGAAGAAGCGATGATTATTAATTATTAGATCGTTTTTTATGGGCTCGCAAAATTTTAGGGAATTCGGGGCATGTCGCCCGAATTTATGCAGATGGCGTGGACTGTAGCACAAATTATGGGAATCGTCCCGAATACCTCTTTTATGGCCCTAAAAAACGATGAAGAATGTTCATAGTGAAGAGATGACTATTATTGATTAGGTCGTCTTTGATGCGCCTGTAAAATTTTGGAGATTCAAAGTCGATCGCCCGAATTTATGCAGATAGCGTGGACTATAGCATATGAAAATTTGGGAATCGTCTTGAATTCCTAAAACGCCAACAAACGAGAAACAGTTGTGACAAAGCGAGAGTATTGTTCATTAGATCAATATTGATAGGCCCACAAAATTTTAGGAGATTCGAGGCCGTTACCCGATTTCATGAATATATACACGAAAATCTAGAAATCATCTTGAATTCCAATTTTATGGCCCTAAAATGCCAAAAACGAGGAATGATCCTGGCAAAGTGATCACTATTGTTCATTAGGTCATTTTTATGGGCCCGCAAATTTTAGGAGATTTAGGGCCGATCGCTAAAATTCATGCAGATGGCATGGACTATAGCATACGAAAATCTGGGAATCGTTCAAATTAATTGAGTGTTTGCTGGGTATTACATTTTAACTTATGCAAAAATCTATGTATTACTTTAATGCGAGAATACATGGATTGACAATAGGTGGATAGAGAATTTAAAGACACAATGCTCTTAAAGTAGGTGATCCCCACATAGCGTTCCATATATTATTCGAATGCAGTGTATATCTCTAGCCTAAACTATTCTAGAAGGAGTAGGGGATGAAGCTGGTGTGAAACAAACAGAAACATTTTACAATTTTAAGAGAGAACATACGCAGCAGGAAAATAGCAAACAATAAATGAAATTCACTTGCAACTGCTGAGAAGTTAGTCAACAACATCAAGGGAATTGCTACAAAAAGTTTCCCTTCGAAAAACTCAGGTTTGACTTAATACTTAGGCTACGTATATCTAAGGAAATATTAGGACTAATGTAGACATATTTGGTAAATCACAAGCTGTACAGTTTCTAAGTAATGGAGCATGGTGAAGCTTACTTGTATATTTTTTTTGGCTTATGGGATTTCAGGCCACCACCTACCTACTTATAGTACAGGTATAAAAGGGACGTAAGAAGCTGTACAAGTTTCCAGGGTTGTATCTGCTCCTAAAAACTTTCTAGCACATCTACCTGATAGGCTGATACACATATATACAAGCATTTCTAATGTGAAGATGCAACTTGACTAGTCCTGCTTATTGCCACTCGTACCTTGCGGGTGTTGTGCTATTCTAGCCAGGAAAACGATAGATAACTTGAAAAGGTATTAGTTGGTGATATTATCCTTCACTTTTTTGCTACCATCATTGTTTATTCCTTCACTGCTCACTGCTTCCAAAAGTCGAAGCAGGCATCTGTTGAGGAGACCAGGTGCAAATTCCTTCAGCGCTGGCCACATCAGCAATAGGAGAATATGGCCTAGTCATTTTTGTTTTAACCAATGCCTGAACATCAGGGGGAAACAATTACACAAACATATACACATGAATAAACAAATATTAGCAGCAATAATCACAATGTTATGCATCTTCCATTATTCAGTAGCCTATTTGCGCTGGAGTTACCTTTTTCCTTGATCACTAAGTGCACTTAATTTCTTACACAAATCATAAACATATACCTTTGATTGACTTTGCCCATAAACATTTCTTGCTTGCTCGATAGAAGAATAAACTTCAAATGCTTGATTAGATTCACGATGACACTTTATGACACGAACTTGGTCCTTTCCCTCCAGGGAACGACTTTGTAGATACATTATAAGCCGTGAAGGGGGACCATTTGGAAGATCTTTTTTTCCATGAGTCAATTCCATAGTCACCAGGTCTTCCAACAGGACATCCCATAAAACCGAACATGGATCTCTAGCCGGATTAAACTTCTTTTGTGCAATAAGATTTGAAGGTTGCTGCCAACGACAAAGTAGAAACTATTTTCAGTTTGAGGATAAGTGCACAAAACAGTGCAGGAAAAGGGTTCAGATGCGAAAGAATGCTGGGATGAAAAAAAAGAGTTTTAGTCCCTTTTCAATTATTCAAANCTCTGTTAAAAACCCTAAGATCTTTCACTCCAAGTCCACCCCACTTCTTTGGGGAAGTGACTGTATGTCAATTCACTAGATGAAACTTTCTAGTTCCATCCGCCGCATCCCACAGAAAGTTCCTTTGAAGTCGCTCCAGTTTTTCTGTGATGCTCACCGGTGCTTGCAACAGTGATAAGTAATAGATGGGCATACTCGATAAAGTGCTTTTGATAAGCACTTCCTTACCTCCTTTTGACAAATACCGTTTCTGCCACCCTGCTAATCTCTTTTCAACCCGTTCGATCACTGGATTCCAAACCGTAGTATCCTTATATGAAGCGCCCAGAGGGAGACCCAGGTAAGTAGTGGGAAGGGAACCCACCTTGCATCTGAGAACACCAAACAAGGCATCAATATTAGTAACCACACCTACCGGAAAAATCTCACACTTGCCGATGTTGATTT